CTCCGATTTCGCCCTGACGTCCGATCTGCCCGCGCTGCTGCGCCTGTGCCGCCTGTCCCCACGATCCTCCGACCGGTACCTCTTGTCGAACTTCTTGTAGAGACGGTGGCCGGGCACGTGCTTCGACGTGGAGGATCTGTGCCCTTCGGGGGAGTCCGCGAAACCTGCCGGCGGTCGAACGATCTCTTCCGAGACCTCGGGGTGGAGCAACACGACGGCACGCACGATAGAGAAAAGAGGTAGATAGACCGACAGATAGAGAAGACAGATCGATTCGAGATTCGATATTTTTGTTTTTCTTTTTTTTTTTCTTTTCCTTTTTTTTTTTTGGTGGTTGCTGGAGACGATTCAGTTTTAAGCCGAATTTAAACTGATTGATTCTTTCATCTTTTTTTTTTTTTTGGGAATAATTTTTTGTTTTTTAAGGAATCTTTAAGAAGAAATCTTAGAGGTTCTAAAGATTGAATAGTAAATAGTTATTTGTAAAGTTATCTCGCTTCATCTAATCGAAACTTACTCAACAATCATGGAAATTTCTGCGCACTAAATTTCATATTTGTTTTTCGCTTCTAGAATCGATTTTCCAAAAATGTTTCATGAATTAATTTATTAACACCCAGCGTGTTACGTGGATTTTTATGAGTTTTTTTTATTTAATTAGCGATTATTTTTTTGAAATAATTTTTTGTTTTATAAGGAAACATTTTTAGGAAGAAATCGATTCTAAACATTAAAGAACAATTTATCTAATCGAAAATTGAAGCGCTTATTCAACAATCATCGAAATTTCTGTGCACCAAATTTTTCATTTCTAGAATCGATGTTCTAAAAATGTTCCATGGAATGTTAACACCCAGCCCCATGAGAAATTGACGCTCTAGCCAATCACCAGAAACAAGTAAGAAGAAAGGAAGAAATTCAAGACTGAAGCAACGGACTAACGCACTACTCTATACCACTACTTGATCTAATTTATAACACTCGACTTATAATATAATATAACCTCGATCCCGCAAAATGGAAAAATAAAGTAAAAAAAAAAAAAAAAGAAAATAGAGAGGGATTGAGACCTGACGAAGAAAAAAAAAATACAGCCCCTATCGTGTACCATGCCTTCGAACTTGCTTCCTTTCGCAAGGAGGAAACCTTGACAAAACACAGCGAATGAATAATTTACCTCTCTGCCGCAGTGGTGGCAATGGGGGGCGTCAAGGGCGCCGATGGTCAAGCATTGGTCCGCCCCCTCGCTGTAGAAAACACTGTCGCTCCCAGGGCTGACAGACCTCAACGATTCCGCTGAAAGAGCCTTTAATCTGGCCTCGGGGCTCTGGGACTCGACAATCACCGCCCTTTGCCCGTTGTGCCCCGGACTTCGTTGATAACGGCCCGGGCTCAACCTCGAGCACATTATGTCGTCCGCCGCTCGCGACCTCCTTCGTGGCAGGCTCCCCGTTATGGCCGCGTTCTTGTCCTTAAATTCGAACGTGGGGGGAGGGGAGGGTTAGTTATTGCCATTGTATCCTCGTGTCGAGGCTCACCCCTTTGAGCAACGAGCAAGTCGAGGAGGGGAAACATTTGCAACGAGTTTGGGGAAATTGGAGTAATTTGAAAAATTGTTAAAATTGTTAAATTGTTTCCTATTTCACGAAACAGTCTCGATTGAAAGTTTTGAATTTTCATCCTGAGGTGCGTGATTAAGGTGCGTGATTAAGGAGTGCATAATTTTTGGAAATACGATTAAATATTTTTGGTGTCTTGGAAAAATGGTACGATTGGGGAAATTTTATTTAAAATCGAAATATTTGGATTCGTAAGAAATTTTTTAATGAGAGAAGATAAATTTTTTTTTTAATGATATTCGATTTGTTATTTTTTAAAAATATTCTTTATATATTTTTAGATTTCAATCAATTTTCTTCGAGCACATGTCTACACATCTCTTCGATCAGTTCTTTTTTTTTTTTTTTTTTTTTCTAATAATTGATTCGTGATGGAGAGGTTTAGTACCACTTTTCCACTCAATTCTACAATTGTTCTCGTGCCGATATTAATTAATTGTGCTTTGAAAGATTTGATCGAGTGCTTGATCTGTATTTATACCTAATGGGAGTTTCAATTAATATAGTTCTTAAATATATTAATAGATTGCACTATTATTTTATCGCGAAGAGGAAGAAATTGATATTATTTTTTTAAAGAAATTTGACATCTCGTGTTCGCGATAAATATTATAAACAAGAATTGAATTACATTTATCAAACATATTAAAATATTAAACAAACACCATGCAGGATTTTTAATAGTATTAAAAATAATTACACACAAATTTCGTACTTTACGTATAAAAATATTTTTTAACGTTAAAAAAACGAAAGGAAAAAATTAAGAAATTTAAAGAATTTAAAAATATGTCTTACTGGAAAATCCCACTGATTGCCAAAAGATAATTTCGTATTGAATATTACAATTTTCCTCCCAGATATTACAAAAAACAATATTTTATACATACTACGATTATTCACGAAGAATTATATTTATAATACATTCTCAAAATTTCAAATTTTCATGAATTTGAAAATATATACTTATACATCACTGTTTCACACGTATCCAATATTTTCGAAATACAAATTAAAATTTCACAATAGCTCAATATCTTTCGTTCAATGTACAAAATAAAATGTACCATTGCAAAAATAAATACAATAGAAAAAGTGAACAAGTATTCAAATATTACCTCGTTACTCCTTCTCCTGGTAGAAACATAACCAGTGGTCTTCCTCCTCGGACTCTCCCTCGTCCTCCTGTGCCTTCCATCGGCTCCCTCGCGGTGCAGGTGATGATGATGGTGATGGTGCATGTGATAGTGGTGGCTGCAGCTGGAATCGTCCGAGGTGGGCACATGGCCGCCATCCTCCCCTTGTTCCACGCGCCAATCCTCCTTCTGTGGGCTCCTGCTAATTTGTTGCTGTTGCTGTTGCTGCGCCTGCTGTTGCGCCGATTGTTGCACGGATATCGTCGCGTCCCGCTTCCTGTTGTTCTTGTGCGGGCTTCTCGCGCTCGTCGATTTCCCCCTCGGCCTGTGACGATGGCTAGGCGTTGGACTCAACTCAACGCTGTCCCCGTACGAATCCGCGCTCCGTTCCACGCCCGCGCCGCTTCCCAGAAAGTCGAGGGAGAACGTCTTCCTTCGTCTGCGCCTCTCCTCCTCGGTCCAACCGCGCAGATCCGGCGGAGACTCGGCGTAACCGCCCGAAGAGGAGCGGTGGCCTTCCTGCAACCGAGTTTTTGCCATGGATTGTGTGAATGATGGATACTTTCGAATCGTGACACGTTTGCGCTGAGAGTGGCAATTCGAAAGATATTTATGTTTGATTCTTTTTAGAATATCATTTCAATAGAATAGATTCCTTAGGTTCTTTATATATAATATTATGAAGTGTAGAATAATGTACTGTCGAGTGGCTAGGTTTTTTTTTTATTTTAAATTAGACCGTGATCGCGGAACTGAAATATTATTTTCAAAATTTTTGAGTTTTGTAAGGATGGAATACGGTAATGGAATTAGAGTTTGTGAGAGTCAGTTTGATGCCAGTGGCAATTCGAACGATATTTGTATTATTTATGCGGATTGTAAATCATGGATACTTTTGAATCGTGACACGTTTGCGCTGAGAGTGGCAATTCGAACGATGTTTGTATTTATGTTTGATTCTTTTTAGAATATCATTTCAATAGAATAGATTCCTTACGAAGCGTATAATAATGTACTGTCGAACTAGGTTTTTTTTTATTTTAGATTATGAAAATTAGATTGTGATGGAATGGAAATATTATTTTCAAAGTTTTTGAGTTTTGTAAGGATGGAATTAGTTGGAGCGAAGATGAGTTTTCAAGAGTTGGTCTGATGCGAGCAATTCGAAAGATATTTGTATTTTGATTCTTTTTAAAATATCATTTCAATAGAATAGATTCTTTACAAAGTGTATAATAATGTACTGTTGAGCGACTAGGTTTCTTTTTTTATTTTAGATTGTGAAAATTAGATTGTAATCACGAAAATATTATTTTCAAAATTTTTGAGTGTTGTGAGGATGGAATACGGTAATGGAATTAGTTAAAATTTGTGAGAGTTGGTCTGATGCCAGTGGCAATTCGAACGATATTTGTATTATTTATGCGGATTGTGAATTATGGATACTTTTGAATCGTGACACGTTTGCGTTGAGAGTGGCTACTCTTTGATGCGAGTAGCAATTCGAACGATATTTGTATTTATGTTTGATATTTCTTTTTAGAATATCATTTCAATAGAATAGATTCTTTACGTATAATTTTATGAAGCGTAGAATAATGTACTATCGAATGGCCAAGTTTTTTTTATTTTAAATTAGATCGCGAAACGGAAATATTATTTTCGAGTTTTTTAAAGTTGATAAAATTTTTGAGGATGGAATACGATAATGGAATTAGTTGGAGCGAAGATGAGTTTGCAAGAGTCTGAGTGGCAATTCGAAAGATATTTGTATTTATGTTTGATTCTTTTAGAATATCATTTCACGAATTCCTTACTTATAATCTTATGAAGCGTAGAATACTCAAAGTTCAAAGTTTAGCTAGGTTTTTTTTTATTTTAGATTGTGAAAATTAGATCATGATTGCGGAACAGAAATATTATTTTCAAAATTTTTGAGTTTTGTAAAAATGGAATACAGTAATGAAAGAATACAGAATTAGTAGCGAAAATGAATTTGATTTTGTCATTATTGAATAAATTATTTCTATTCATTGATGATGAAGAGAAGGAAATGCAGCGATGAAAGTAGAGATGGTGAAGAATAATAAGTAACGAATGTGAGAGCACATTATTGGGATTGTAAGGTTTGCTCTCAACGAAATAAGAAAGATGAAAGACATTTTATCATGTGATACTTGCACTGACAAACCGAGGATCTTAATAATTGCTTTATTATTAAAATAGACTTTAATATTCAACAAATTTTCTTCCTTTATACGTATAAATATATGAAATAATAAAATATATAAATTTTACACGTTAATTTGCGTGTAAGATCATTTTAATGCATTTCTTAGCTAGCTAAGTTATTCATAAAGTTGGTTAAAAAATATGAATTTTTGCATCGATAAAAAAAAAGAAGATAACATTTGTGCTATAAAACGAAGAAACCATTTTTATCCTTCCTCTCTTAAATTAATAAATTAATAAACATGTCATTAACCGATCAACTTTTCTCCTACTTGATCCCGCAAAACATGGATCCCTTCAAATGTGAAAAAAAATTCACATTTAATCTTCCAGAGATCGTAGCTCAACTGGAGCGAGAACTAATTCGACACCATTAACCAAAATTCGAAAAT